TGTGTGTGTGCCAGGCTGGGAGTGAGGTGGTACCCCGAGGCTCTGGCCCTGCCTGTCCCTTTGGGCTGGAAGCTGTTTCAGCTCAGTGGGATTTACTGAGTGTAAATTGCTAATTTGTCCTGGTGTGTGACACATGGCTAGAGTTGTTAATGTTTCCTGGGTGTGAGTTGAAACAATTGCTGTTTTTTCTGAGTGGGATTTTAACACAGACGCAACAGCTTCTTTCAGCTCCTCCTGTAGCTCTCTGGTTTGCTCAGGCTGAGTTTGGCTCTAGCAGCAGTGTGGGTACCCCAGCTGTGCCCTCTGCTGCTCCCCACACTGCCCTGAGACTTGGGCATACACCTGAGCCAGGCTGGAGAAACATCCCAGCTGGAAACTACCTCCAAAGAGCTTTTTACCTAAGGCTGGAACTATCTAGTGTAGATCCTAGGTCCATTCTGTGCTGCTGCACTTGGTTTAATTGAGTTTTCTGACCATTGCCAGATTGGGGCCTTTGTTTGTTTGTTTAAGGAGTTAATATAGGCAAGGATTAAGCTTAGTTTTGGTGCATTGAGTTAAAATCTTAATGTGTCAAGACACAGCATTAATCTAATTTGTGTCAGTGCTAAGATCTCATCAGAAAATATGTTTTTCTATCAAAGCAGACTGAGTTAATCCCATTTCCTTATGTTATTCCCACTCTCCTCCCCTGCAATCCCAGTTCAGTTTCCAAATGGATTACAGCCCATGAGGCTCTTCTAAGCATTGTCAGTCCAAAAACTAATTGGCTCTGCCTTTCAAAAGTGGTTCCTGACCCAGGTAAGATTTTTATCTATAAGGAAGTAGCTAATTTGAATGATTGGAGTTGCAGGAGGTATTAACTGTACCTTGCAGAGATTGTTGTGCAACTGGAGACATCACTGGCTGGAAAGAAACATGAACCAAAACTTGGGCTGCATTGGATTCAGCAGTTCATTCCAGGATTACATGGGCAAAGTTATTACAAATCTGCTTCTTTTGCTGCTCATTCCCTCATGAGCAGAGGAGCATAAACTTACACCAGTTAAAGTGTTCTTCAGGACAGTCAGGACATGAGAGGTAGAGGCCCAAAAGGTGCTGCTCAGTGACCAACATGCACCAGTCAGATACCAAACAGAGCAGAGAACAATCTACCAGTCTGAGAACTGGTTTTGGAGAAGCCACATGTGGCTGATGTCTCATGCTGTGGGTCCTGCCCTCGTGCAGAGAGGTCCTGCTTGGAATCCTGCACTGTCCTCTTTACTGGTACATGGGGATGTGCTGGGAATGGACTGGGGTGGCCTCACCACCTCCACCCCATGGACCTCCCAGGCCTTAGAGTGTGGCTGTATGAAGCATTGCCTTGTGCCAGAAGACCTGGGACAGGCTAACTCCCAAAGTTTGTAGGAAAAAACTGTGGCAAGAGCTGCCACTGTTGCAGGAGTGTAGCGGTGGGGAAGGCAGAGGGTCAGGCAGATGATACATACTCTGTGTGGCTTGATCTACTCAAATAGCCTTAACCTTAGTGTTTTCTACAGTGGCGTTTTCAAGAAAACCCTTTGTGTGAAGTCCCATCACCATCTCGAGCAAAACTCTCTCCTTTTGCTCCCTGAGGGGCAAAATAGAGCTGAAGGAAACACTGTCTTATTTATTAAGGTTTGCTACACTGATTCTCTTCTTTGCTGGTCCTGAACTTTCCTCTCTCATTGCTTTGCTGTTCTGCCGATGCTCTTTGTATTATATGGAGAGGAACAGCTACAGTTTCAGAGAGAGCACCTACTGCCAGCTGAAGAGCAGGGGAGAACAGAGTGACTTTTTGATTACTGTTAAATATTTACAGGAGCAGTTGGGTCGGAAGGGACCACAGTGGGTTATCTGCTCCAACCTCCTACTCCATCAGGACCAGCCTAGAGCTCATGGCTCAGGGCTGTGTCCAGAGGGGTCTGGAATATCTGCAGTGAGGAGAATCCACGACCTCTCTGGGCAATCTGTTCAGTGCTCAGGGACTGCACAGCAAAGAAGTTCTTCCTCCTGTTCAGGTGGAACTTCCTGGGCATCAGTTTGTGCTGTTCCCTCTTGTTTGATTGGTTTCCCCACTGAGCAGAGTCTGATCATCCTCTTGGCACCTCCTGTTCATGGACTTGAATCCATTCCTGAGGTCCCTCTGAGTTGTCTCTTCTGGAGGCTGAACAGCCCCAACTCCCTCAGCCTTTGCTCATCCCTGAGGTGCTCCAGTGCCTTCAGCATCTTCCTTGCCCTGCCCTGGCCCTGCTGCAGGAGCTCCATGTCCCTCTGGCCCTGAGGAGCCAGAACTGGACACAGCACTCACGGTGTGACCTCCCCAGGGCTGAGCAGAGGGACAGGATCACCTCCCTGACCTGCTGGCAATGCTCTTCCCAATGCATCCCAGGATTCCATTGGCCCCTGAGCCACCAGGACAAACTGTGACCCATGGACAGCCTGTTGTCCACCAGCACCCCCAGGTCCTTCTCCTTGGAGCTGCTCTCCAGCAGGTCAGTGCCAACCTGTGCTGGTGCTTGGGGCTGTTCCTCCCTAGGTAATATTGATGTATGATCAGTTGGTTCTAGAGTGAAGGGTGATTGTGAGGGCAGGAGAACATCTAATTTTCAAACACCTGGAGTTCCAGGCAAGCTTCTTTGAGAAGGCTTTAAAATGTAACTAAAAATTTTCAAGGGAAGTGTTTCCCAACTGAGTAATTTTGCCTGCTGCCCCAGAAGTGTTCGGTGAAGTCCTCCAGCTGGAGAACACCCTGCTTCAGTCCCCACATTAAAGCACAGGCCACACTGAGCTGTCATCTGTTGTTTCTTTCAGAAAATGTGAGCTTGCTGTTCAAGCTGTACTGCCTGGCAGTGATGACCCTGGTGGCTGCCACATACACAGTCGCCCTGCGCTACACGAGGACAGTGGAGACAGAGCTCTACTTCTCAACCACAGCCGTGTGCATCACCGAAGTCATCAAGCTGCTCCTCAGCGTGGGCATCTTGGCTAAGTAAGTATTGGCTCATCAGTATTTTGGGAATGGATCTTTGCTCCCGACCTCCGAGGCTGGGGAATGTGGCTGGAGAATTAATCCTGCTGCAGAAGAGTTTTAGAGTGGGTTAGAGCGTGTGAGTCCTCAACTGAAACTGCTCTGCCAGCAGCACAGTGTTCAGGTGTGGCTTTTCTGCATATTTGTGTGCTTTGGAATTGGTTCAGAATGTCAACACGGAATAGCCACAGTGTCTTGGGTCTTCAAAATATTGGTGTAGGTGAAAGTTGGTGCAGTCACCATCCCTGGAGGTGTTTCAGAGGTGTCTGATGTGGCACTGGAGGATCTGGTTTAGGGGTTCCAGCAGGGACAGGTTAATGGTTGGACTGGATGATCTCAGAGTTCTCCTCCAACCCTGATGGTTCTATGAGAATTGCAGCACAGTTCCCTTCTGTGTCTCCTTCAGAGCTTCCTTCAGCTTCAAGTCCTATCCAGCTTGTCCCACCCAAGACAAGGCACCTTTGTAGTTCAATACCCAGTCAGAAGATAGAGTCTGTCCTTCCTGTACAGCAGGATACATTTGGGTGGGTACCTGTTCTCTCTGAACCAGCCAGTGTTGACAGCTGCAACCCACAGGGCACCAGACACGACTCTCACATTGTTCTGTATGCAGAATTTGTTTCCTCACACGTTTCCTTACACATACCTAAACCCAATGCTTTTATGGTATTTACTTCTGAGGCATGTCCTGGAGGGCACACTGTTTGGATGAATGCCAAAGGATTAGTCCTCCAAAGGAGGAGTTTATGATAGGTTAAGCTGTGTTGACTGTTCTCTCAATTTCTCAGACTATTTAAAGTCCTGTTCACCATCTGGTGAGAACAGTGTCTACACTCTTAGCTGGGATGTCATCACTCAGCAATGGATGAGGAAAAGTAAAGCTGATTTGCAAATGCTGGTTTTAACCTCAGCTCTTCTAACAAATCATGTTTCTGTTGGGTGACAGAACTGATACTTATTGGCATCTCTTACCTGTTCACACCTGTGAATGGGCTTTATGAACTCAGGAACTGAGGAAAGGAGCAATGGCTTAAACTGGAAGAGAGTAGATGTTGGGAAGAATTTCTTTACTGTGAGGGTGGGGAGGCTCTGGAACAGGTTGCCCAGAGATGTGGTGGATTCCTCATCCCTGGGAGTGTTCCAGGCCAGGCTGGATGGGGCTTGGAGCAGCCTGTGCTGGTGGGAGGTGTCCCTGCCCATGGGGGTTGGAACTAGATGGTCTTTAGGGTCCCTTAAAACCCAAATGATTCCGATTGGATGTGAGGAGAAATGTTTTCCCTTCTGTGGTGTTGAGGCCCTGGGATATTGCCCAGGGAGGTGGTGCAGTCACCATCCCTGGAGGTGTTTCAGAGGTGTCTGATGTGGCACTGGAGGATCTGGGTTAGGGTTTGGGGGTTCCAGCAGTGACAGGTTCATGGTTGGACTCAATTATCTCAGAGGTCTCCTCCAGCCCTGGTAGTTCTGTGATTGTATGGACATTTGACATCATACAAAAATACCAATACCCAATAAAACTGGGAGATGCAAACGACACCTTTGTGTTCCACTCCCTGTATTGACCCACTGCCTTTAGTGACATTCTGCTGTGTATAATGTTCATGCTGGTTGTTTACTTTAGTTCAAATTAACACATCTAACTTCCTGATTCCAGAATGTTTCCCTAGCCTTCAGGGCTTTCTGCTTGTTGAAAACCTCACTGTTTTTTTGCCAGTGATTTTTAATGGAGAAGAGGAGGCAGAAGGGAAATCTCATTGCTGTATACAACCTCCTCTGAGGAGCAGCAGAGGAGCAGCACCGAGCTCTGACCTCTGGGACAAGGGACAGGACCCAGGGAATGGGCTGGAGTTGTGTCAGGGCAGGGTTAGGCTGGAGATTAGCAACTGGTTCTTCTTTCCCCAGAGGTGTTTGGGCCCTGAACAGCTCCCAGGGCAGTGTCACAGCCCCAAGGCTGACAGAGCTCCAGAGGTGTTTGGCCAATGCTCTCAGCACAGGGTGTGACTGTCAGGGATGTCTGTGCAGGGCAGGGGTTGGACTGATGATCCTCAGGGTCCCTTCCAGCTCTGATGGTTCTGTGATCCTATGAAGGTACAACTGAGTGTAGACAACAGAGGATTTGTTGGTTGATTTCTGATTTGAAATGCCACTTTGAGAACCTTCATTTATGCTGCTATGTTATTTTTCAGGGAAACTGGAAGTCTGGCAAGGTTAATAACATCTTTGAAAGAAAACGTGTTTGGAAGTCCTACAGAACTGTTAAAACTGAGTGTTCCATCTTTGGTCTATGCTCTCCAGAACAACATGGCCTTTGTGGCTCTTAGCAACTTGGATGCAGCAGTGTATCAGGTAAGACACATTTCTGTCAGGAGCTGATCTAGAAACTGAGCATCTGCTTTATTTCTGTTATTTATTACTTTCTTATTTGTGTTGTTATTTACTTATTGCTCTACTTGTAAAGTGATGATTTCTCTTTCCTGGCTCATGAAGCAGCCAAGGTATCTGTCTGCCTGGCACACACTGCTCCCTTCAGCCTCAGTATTAAGAGCCAAATTATATTTTGCTAAATTCAGAGCAAACACTGAGCTCTTGTCAGCTCTGGATCTAACCCACTTGCTGCTAGAGTCCCTTCCAATTCACCTTGTTGCAATTGGTGATGGTACAAAACCCCCAAGGATCTGTAGGAAATGAATGAGTAGAAAATTTCGCCATTCTGTAGTTAAATTTTCTATTTCGTTTTCTTGTTCTGGAGAGGTTTATAAAACCCCATCCTCCACACTGCATTCCCATCTTCCCTAGGTGACCTACCAGCTGAAGATCCCTTGCACAGCTCTGTGCACAGTCCTGATGCTGAATCGCACCCTGAGTAAGCTGCAGTGGTTCTCTGTCTTCATGCTCTGTGGTGGTGTCACTCTCGTCCAGTGGAAACCTGCTCAGGCTACCAAAGTCCAGGTAAGAGTTCATGTTTTGCCCTTTCAGGTGAAGAAATGTTGTTGGTCAGAAAGAGACTTGGGAGTGCTCAGTGGGAGCTGAGCCAGGGCAGAGTCAGATTGGATGTGAGGAGAAATGTTTTCCCTGTTGTGGTGTTGAGGCCCTGGGATATTGCCCAGGGAGGTGGTGCAGTCACCATCCCTGGAGGTGTTTCAGAGGTGTCTGATGTGGCACTGCAGGATCTGGGTTAGGGTTTGGGGGTTCCAGCAGGGACAGGTTAGTGGTTGGACATCTCCCTCAACCTTGGTGGCTCTGTGACTCTCAGAGTAACCTGCCCTGTAGGTTATATTTCCCTTCCCAGCAGTTGGGCTGAAGGGAGGAGGTCTCTTACATTCCACAGGGCAGTAGGTTTTTCCCATTTCCAGCTCCTCCAACTACAACATATCCCCTAGTTGGTCTTTGGCTGTCACAGTCACTGTGTTCCAGTTCAGGTTCTGCTCCAGCCTCACATGCTGGAAGGACATGATTGCCTCAAGTAGTATAATTACCATCAGTGTAATGCACCATCCTAGGGGTTTCTGAGCTGTAGATCATTCCCAGCAGTTGGCCCTGGTAAGATTGTCATTGTTGGAGAAGAGAACTTGGAATCAAACCACTGGGAGGAATTAGGAGAGAAACTCTAGTGCCATGTGGGTAAGTCATTCAAACACACCCTTCAGGGGCACTGACCTCATCCTCTTCTGGGAAGAAACAAGTGTTTTCTGTTCCTTAGGTCGTAGCTGCTCCTCGGCAGCTTTAGTGGGAAAGGCAGGTCATGCCACTGGGAATTCTGGCCACAGCCAAGCAGACAGTGCCTTGGAGCACTGCAGGAGAACCTGGAGAAAACAAACTGCCTCACAGCCACACCAGGCTGAGCTGGGGCACGGTCCCACGTCACACTGCAGTGAACTGCTGGTCACTCTGCTGCACTCAGTGAAGTAGCTCTGTGTCCTGCTTCCAGCTGGGATGGAGTTCATTTCCTTCCCTGTAGCTGGTTCAGTGCCGTGGCTTGGATTTCGTAGGAGGATCATGTTGGTACCATGGTGGTGGTTTAGTTGTGGCTAAGCAGAGCTTACCCAAAGTCAAGGCCTCCTGAGTACCTCATGCTCTGCCAGCAAGGAGGGGCACAAGAAACTAAGGGGGAGCATGGCCAGGACAGCTGCCCCAAACTGGCCAGAGGGATGTTCCACACCCTAGAGCACCATGTTCTGTGTACAGACTGGGGGAGTTGTCCAGCAGAGACCAACCACTACTTGGGGCTGGGCAGGACATCGGCAGGTGATGAGTAATTGTGTTGACATCACTTGTTTCACTTGGCTTTTCTCTCTCTCTCTCTGCTTTTTGTTGCTATTAGAATACGGATCAGGTTTGATTTTGATTTAATGATTCAAGTGTTCTCATGTCAACCCACAAAGTCTGACCTTTAGTCCTTGGTTCTCCTCCCCACCCTTGGGCTGGAGTGATGGGCTGTGGTGCTGAGCTGCCAGCTGGAGTTAAACCATGGCACTCTGACTACTGTGAGTTACCAAAGTGTTGTGTCCTCTTTGAAATGCTGCAGGTGGAGCAGAACCCATGGCTTGGCTTTGGAGCAATTGCTGTGGCTGTCCTGTGCTCAGGATTTGCAGGTATGGTATCATTTCTGTACATCAAAGCCACTGGAGAACTCCCAGAACATTGTATGCTCCTTAACTGTCTGTTTATTACTTTATTCTCTCTGCCCACAATTATCTTCTGCTTGCACTAATTATAGCAGATTCATGACATGATTACTCTTGTTGTCATGTAAATCAATGTTCAGCTCCTGTCTCTCCACACTCCCAGGTCCCTTTCTCCTGGTGCTCTCCAGCCACTCCACAAAGGCTTTTTAGTTTTGCTTATATTTGTTTTGTTCTACAACTAGTGTAGTTTTTCTCTCTGGCTTCTGGAGAAGGACACCAAAACTTGAGGACAAGTGAACTGGTGCTCAGAAATAAGGAAATGCTAATTCCTACTTGATTTGGCTCAGGGGAGTCTATTTCCCTGGCTGTAAACTGGGTTCTTCCCCCTCCCTCTCTAAGAAAACAAGGTGCTATCACCCACCTCTAGTAGTGCAAAGTCCTGCAGGAACCATCTCATGCTGTGCATACTCTCATTGCTCATGGAAAACAGGAATGAGCACAGGAGGAAAGGAGCAGAGCATCATTCTCGTGTCCCTTCAGTGAAATGGGTGCTTTGAAGCAGAAGGGCTAAATAAGACTGTGTAGAGCTCATTAGACAGCAGGAGTTCCTGGGAGCTGAGTGTTTCTGATCAGCTCCAGAGGAGCTCAGCCCTGGTGCTGAGCCTGTCTGAGGTCACACTGCAGCCCTGGGGTGGGAGGTGATGCTGCTCTACCACCACAGTGCAATGTGTTCCAGTGAAGGGGAAAGAAGAATTCTCCATCTTACTGAAGCACATCAACATTGCTCTGGATGCCAACGAGCTGCTTTGGTTCTGGTGTAGAGATGTACAGAAGAGACTCTGCTGGGCAGAAATGAGGAGTGGCCTCAGTTGTTGTCCATTGTTAGGACAACCTCAAAGAGAAACAGAATCGATTTCTGATGCTCCATACCCATTAGAATGATCCTGTTGTGGGAGACACATGTTGTTGGGTCCTCAGCACTGAGAACTTGTGTGAAACTTGTCTGTAGGACAAGATGACTCCAGTAGTCCTGTCTAGTTTGCAAACACAATGAACCATGAAAGATTAAGGATAACATTTTGTAGCACTGACATGTTTGGTTTTTCTTTCAGGAGTTTATTTTGAGAAGGTCTTGAAGAGTTCAGATACTTCCTTGTGGGTGAGGAACATTCAGCTCTACTTACCTGGCATCGTGGTGACTTTATTTGGGGTGTACATGTCAGATGGAGCCCAAGTCCTCGAGAAAGGCTTTTTCTATGGCTACACATACTACGTCTGGTTCGTCATCTGTGAGTATTTTGTGCTGTTAGAGTCTTGTTCCTTTGTTCTGGAAGATACCCCCCTGTGCCCCAGCTGGTGTTGAATCCCCAGTAGGGATTAGCCCAGGCAGGGAGCACACTGGTGCAGCAAAATGCATCATTTAAAGTGACCTACTGCAGCTGAACTAACAGTTACACCTTATCTGCTTTCCAGTCCTGGCCAGTGTTGGTGGCCTCTACACCTCAGTCGTGGTTAAGTACACAGATAACATCATGAAAGGTTTCTCTGCAGCAGCAGCCATTGTCCTTTCCACTGTGGCATCAGTCATCCTCTTCGGCCTGCAGATAAGTAAGTGTCTTTTTGCCTTTGCTATGTGTTTCCAACCTCTTGTAGACAGTTCATCCCAAAGCCATTGGTGATGTCTCCTCTCAGTTCTTCTGGTTCTGCCTTCCAAGTCTTCTCCAGGACTCTTCTGCTCTGATGCATCATTGTCCCTGGTCATCCTGTGCTTCCAAAGGCACTTGTGGTTTGTTCTTCTGGAGCCATCTACAACTTAAACAGAAAGGTTCTTATTAGTTTTACAGAACAATAGAATTTTAGTGGTTGGAATGGACCTTGGAGATCATCTAGTTGGAGGAGACCTCTAAGATCATTGAGTCCAACCATTAACCTGTCACTGCTGGAACCACTAAACCATATCCTCCAGCATCAGAAAGTCTTTCACTGTTTAGTTCTGGGTATTTTTCACTTTTCTACCTTAATCCAAAGATAGTGTGGCAAAATGGTGGAAAATGTAGCTTTCAGGTGTAGCATGAGTGAGATGAAACTTCAGGGAACTTTGCATAAGAAGAAAACCATCAGTGTTTGGCTGATCGAGCACTATAAGGGGATGGAAAAGACCAACCCATCTCGTTTAAAAAACTCACTTGGGCAGAGCAGTTTCTTGATGGTTGATACAAACCAAACCTGACTGGTGATCTTTCTCTGAAAGCCTCATTGAAGTGTTTCTTAACCCTGTCAAGATCACAGAATCATAGAATTTAGGGGTTGGAATGGAGCTCAGAGCTGACCCAGCCCCAAGCCCTGCCCTGGGCAGGGACACCTCCCACCAGAGCAGGTTGCTCAAGGCTCAGCCAACCTGGCTGTGAACACTGCCAGGGTTGGGGCAGCCACAGCCTCCCTGGGCACCCTGGGACAGGGTCTCACCACCAGAACAGGCACAACTTCTGCCTAACATCTAACCTCAATTTCCCTCCTTCAATTTGTGCCCATTGCCCCTTGTCCTATCACTGCAGCTCATGGGCAGTTTCTCCCCCACCATCACCCCCAAGTCTCTCTCCTCATTGCTGCTCTCAATCCCTTCCCCACCCAACCTGGAGCTGTGCCTGGGGTTGCCATGGCCCACATGGAGCACCTTGCACTGCATTTGGTTGAGCTCCATCAGGTTTGCATTGGCAAACCATCATAACCTACACAACTAGCTGAAGGTTTCTTTTCACGTGGACACATTTATTTAAACTCTTTTGTCTCCTTCCAGCTCTTACCTTCTCCCTGGGTGCTCTCCTGGTGTGTGTTTCTATTTACCTCTATGGATTACCTCGACAAGACACCACAAAAATCCAACCCTCAGAGACCAAGAGCTCCAAAGAGAGACTTGCTAGTGTGTGACAGGAAAATGGACAAGAGAAAAGAAGAGACTTTTTTTAAAAAACTGTTTTTTCTTTTAAATTAGCCTTAAGCTAGCCATGAATTGGTTTAAGTGGGATGGACTAGGAGTTGTTTTACCTCTGGAGTTTCCAGGGCTGATGCTGAGGCCACACTGCAGCCAAGGAGCTGTCTGGGTGTCTTACTGAAGGTATTGTTCACTCCCAGCGACAGTGACGAGTGGTTTCCAAGGAAAGCTGAAGGAAGGAACTGCTCACTCAATTGTATATTCTGTATATAATGGAGGGAAGTTGGTTCTCTGTGTCTTTGATAAACTGTCCTGCCTTTTGAGAGCAGAAATGCCTGAAATCTTCATAAAAAAACTATTAAAAACAGCAACTTCTGCCAACATTTTAAAAGACCTGGAAATTGCAGTTTGATTAGCGACAGGAGATTTGTCTTCTGGATGAGATGGCACAAGTGTGCTGGGAAGAACCATCATTTCCCTGGGAGGGACTGGAAGTAGCACGTGGTTTCAAAACTCACAAGGCAAACCTGGTGTTTCTCTGAAGCTGTGGGTTTTCTTTCCCTTTTCCAAGTTTTTTTTATAGCTGCTGTAGCTGCCAAAGGCATCTTCTGTGCTATGCCTTGTCCAGGGAAAGGTTTGTATCTGTTCCTAAGTATGAATGAGTCAACACAGTGTCAAACTAGAAGATTCTTATCTGTACATTTTTCCCTGTAAACCTTTCTGTGCCTACAGAGTGATGCAGGAAAAGAGCTCCTGTCATGCAGGTTAGGCTTTGATTTAACTTATTAGTGCCAAGTCTGTCCCTCATCTTCTGAGGCCTTCCAGAAACTGCAGCTCTTCACTGAGGGGAAAACTGACCTTGGTGCACTTAGGCAGGTTCTTTCCATTCACAGTGGAGTCCAAGTGTGCCCAAGTTTGTAACCTTGGTTAGATTCCTTCAGTTCTGAGCTAACCACTTGGGTTTCATCTCAAAGTGGGACATGTCAAACACAGCAGTAACAAAGGCTTTACCTTTTGCTCCAGTGGAGGAGGATGTTCTCTGCCTTTCTCCAGCTGGTCTGTGTAGCAGAAGCTGGAATCATCAGAGCTGGAAGGGACCCTGAGGATCATCAGTCCAACTCCTGCCCTGCACAGACATCCCTGACACTCACACCCTGTGCTGAGAGCATTGGCCAAACACCTCTGGAGCTCTGTCAGCCTTGGGGCTGTGACACTGCCCTGGGAGCTGTTCAGGGCCCAAACACCTCTGGGGAAAGAAGAACCAGTTGCTAATCTCCAGCCTAACCCTGCCCTGACACAACTCCAGCCCATTCCCTGGGTCCTGTCCCTGGGCCCAGAGAGAAGAGGTCAGAGCTGTCCCTGCACTTCCTTCCCTGAGGAATTGGATCCAGCCATGAGCTCTGTGCTCAGTCTCCTCCAGCTGAACAGCCCAAGTGCCTCAGCCACTCCTCATGTGCCTTCCCCTCAAGGCCGTTTACCATTTCGTTGCCTCCTTTGGACACTCCAAAAACTCAGGCTCTTTCTCACCTTGTGGTGCCCAAACTGCTCACACTGTTCCAGCTGAGGCTGCCACATCTGGCTGTGTGCACAGGACTGAGGGAACACTGTTTTTCCTGCTCCACCAGATGGGCAGCAGTTTCTTCTCCCCAGCCCCATGTCCGGGTGAGGGTGAGGGGTGAGGAACAGGGTGTGACAGGTGGAACTTGGGCTTGGCTTTGCTTGCTGAAGGGGCAATGCAGTACAACACACAGGAAAAGATCTCTGCATGGTCTAACTTGTTCTTTACAAGCCATTGTGCCAGTAGGACCTCAGTACACAGTGGCAACAACAGAAGGAAAGAACTTTGCTTAGGGCAGCACAGTGATTACCACTCCCTCCACCAAAGGGAAGTTGTGTTTATATGGCAAATACAGAGCAGTGTCTTAAGCACACTCCCCCCACCAAGTGCCTGGAAGAAAGGGATGGTGACAGCCTTGGCCTCCCTGTAAGACCTGACATGTGCCATGTCATGCAGTTGCTACTGACAGAGCACACAAACCTCCAAGTGCAGACAGTTTCCAGCCTGAATTAGCAGTGACACACAGGAAAGTATTGTCTTGAAAAAAACACCTTTTACTAAGAGCTGTGCCCCTTGGTCCCACAGCCTCTTTACATCTGAGTGACAGGAGTGATGCCAAGAAGTCTCATTCCGTTGGCTAGAACTGAGCGAGTGGCTTGAAAGAGACAGAGCCTTGCCTGGAAAACAAGAACAAGAGTCAGCTTATCATGGCCCAGAACAGCTTGGGACAGCAGCAGCTCTGACCCCTCTGTCCCCATGCAGGGCCCTGGATTCAGACCTATGCCCAACCTGAGCAGGAATTCCCACCAGCTGCTCTCAGCCCACTGCAGTGGCAGCAGGAGACTGTCAGCCCTAGGAGGCTGGAAAGGTGTGTCCAGCCCAGGGCAGAGCACACAGAGATGCTGCAGAAGAGCTAGCATGGACTGTAAGGAGAAAATCTTTCATGCACCACAGGCTGGGCCAGGATACTGCTGGAATCCCTCCCCTTTCTGGGTTGGAGGCTTCTGGGCAACTCTGCTGGGCTGCTTGGAAACATCACTGCCATGTCAATGTCTTGGCTGTTTGGGAAGGGCTCTGTCACCCTTGCTCCAAAAAACACCACCCTCAGGGAAAACTTCTGCCTCACATCTACCCTCAATTTCACTCCTTCAATTTGTGCCCATTGCCCCTTGTGCTGTCCCTGCAGCTCCTAACACAGATCCCTCTGCAGCTTCCCTGGAGCCCCTTCAGCTCCTGCAAGGTGCTCTGAGCTCTCCACACAACCTTCTCTTCTCCAGGCTCAACAGCCCCAACTCCCTCAGCCTGTGCTCACAGGGAGATGCTCCAGTGCTCTGAGCAGCTCTGTGGCCTCCTCTGCACTTGCTCCAACACTTCCATGTCCTTCTCAGGCTGAGGCCCCAGAGCTGTGTGCAGGATTCCAGGTGGGTCTCACAGAGCAGAGTAGATTCTATGATTCTCACAACCTTCTCTTCTCCAGGCTCAACAGCCCCAACTCCCTCAGCCTGTGCTCACAGGGAGATGCTCCAGTGCTCTGAGCAGCTCTGTGGCCTCCTCTGCACTTGCTCCAACACTTCCATGTCCTTCTCAGGCTGAGGCCCCAGAGCTGTGTGCAGGATTCCAGGTGGGTCTCACAGAGCAGAGTAGATTCTATGATTCTATGGAACCATCAGGGTTGGAGGAGACCTCTAATGTCATCAAGTCCAACCACGAACCTGTCAGCAACCTCTAACAGGGAAAACATTTCTCCTCACATCCAGTCTGCCTCTGCCCTGGCTCAGCTCGAGGCCATTCCCTCTAGTCCTCAACCCAAGCACTTCCATTGGGGCTGGCAGTGTCCTACTGGATCCTTGCCCTGGGACACCCTGTGCAGGCTCCATCCCAACATACCTGTGCTGCCTCAGGGTCGCTGCCCCTCACGGGGAGGGCTCTGTGTGCCACAGCTGCAAGGTGGCTGAAACAGGGAACACAGTGAGAACGGAGGGAACAAGCAAGTTGCTGCCAAGAGCAGTGCCATGGGCTACAGAAAGCAGAAGTGGCAGAGCCACCCACACTGCAGTGTGCCAGAGGGTGATTGCCAACAGCCTCTTTCAGCTGGCTGAGGGAGGGCAATGACTTCTGTAGCCTGCATGGTGTCAGGGCATGCCACCAACAGCTTCATCCTGCTAAAATAACCCCAAAACAATCTATCCACATCCCCACTGCAAAAAAAAACCCAAACAACCTCAAAACTGCTCTGGGAAGATCCTTGAGAACTTACTCTTGTAGACAGTGATGATTCCTTATCTAGTTTTTCTTAACTTGTTAAAGCCTTAGAATCACAGAACCATCAGGGTTGGAGGAGACCTCTGAGATCATCGAGTCCAACCATTAACCTGTCACTGCTGGAACCCCCAAACCCTAACCCAGATCCTGCAGTGCCACATCAGACACCTCTGAAACACCTCCAGGGATGGTGACTGCACCACCTCCCTGGGCAATATCCCAGGGCCTCAACACCACAACAGGCAAAACATTTCTCCTCACACCCAATCTGACTCTGCCCTGGCTCAGCTCAAGGCCATTCCCTCTAGTCCTCTCTATTTGCTATCCTACTTTACACATTTCCTGCTTCAGGGAAACTGTCCCAGAGATTTGCATCTTCCCACGAGCTTCACTCTTGCCAGCAGTGCAGGTGTGAGGGCTGCAGAGCCAGCTCAGGAAGAGCTGTCCTTACTGGAAACCCCACCAATGTCAGCAAACACCTTACCTGAGTGTGAGGAGGTAGCTGACAATGTGCTTGGGTTGCAGATCCTGAGAAGATCTATACAGGACCTCATCATACCTGTGAAGGAGGAAAATGATTGTGGTAGCCAGGTGTGCTCACAAGGCTCGGCAGATGTGCTTAAGTCCAAACAACACACAACTACAGCTGCAGAATGAGCAAAACTAATCTCCCAAACCCAACCTAAGCCAGGTCATTAGCACACAACTCATTATCCCTTCCTCCTTCCCCTGGTAGTGAAGGAGATGATTGCTCCTCGTGCTGCAAACACTAGAGGTGGCAGAGCTCACACAGACTACAGCAAAGGCAACACAAGAGCTCTGTTTGCTCCTGGAACATTATCTCTGGTTTTACATCTCAACACTAAGTTCCTAGGAGCAAAAAACATGTCTTAAATAACCAAGGCAGGCAAAATAGTCCCTTAGAGGATGTTGCCTTGAGCAAATGCAGCTTAGAATTTTAAGTAGCTAAAGGGAATCTCGTAACACTAGAAAAAGGACAAAGTCAATGTGATTCTGCATAACCCTGGAATACAACTGACTTTACTAAGACAGTATTTAAACTGGGTAATCCTGGCAGAGTCACAGAGCCACAGAACCATCAGGGCTGGAGGAGACCTCTAGGATCATCGAGTCCAACCATTGACTTGACACTGCTGGAACCCCTAAACATTTATTTTAACGTTTATCCCAATGTTTATTTTAAGGTAACTGGTATTTAGAAAGAAAGCCAGACCAACCTGAGGAGATGCTGAAGAACAGAGGTGGCCTCTGGCTCCTGCAGGCATGTCACATCCACATCACTTAGCTGTGTGTTCCCGTGCTTCTGCTCCAAACTGGAACGCAAGAACAGAAAACAAACGTTGGATGAACACCTCCTGGCAGCAGAGCTAAACAGGAACCGTAGGGATTTGTGTTTTTAAGCAAAAAGGGCAGGCTGCTCCTGCTCCAGCTGAATGGAACACCAGGACAGAGCAGCTGCCCTCACCCCAGGATACAAATTGTGCTAGTCATTCAGAGCCAGCAGGATCAGAGCTAGGCATGGACACCAGGGCCAGAAGCTGATGCTGAACTGGACTGTTCAGGGGCTGAACAACATCCAGCCTCGATGGTTCTAAAAGGCCAAGGAGGTAGTCAATACCCTAGGAATGGTACTCCAGTACCACCAATCCCTAGGTGATAGGGGAGTACAAGAGGAACAGACTAGAGAAAGGGTTTTTGCATGGTCTCCCTGACCACCATCTCCTGTTCCCATTGCCTCAGACACAAGACCAGGGTGGTACAAATCTTTGCTCTGAGCCAGGCAGGAATCTTACATGAAAATACACAGAATCATAGAACTATCAAGGTTGGAGGAGATCTCTAAGATCATCGAGTCCAACCTGTCCCTGCTGGAACCCCCAAACCCTAACCCAGATCCTCCAGTGCCACATCAGACACCTCTGAAACACCTCCAGGGATGGTGACTGCACCACCTCCCTGGGCAATATCCCAGGGCCTCAACACCACAGCAGGGAAAACATTTCTCCTCACATCCAATCTGAATCCTGGTTACCAACAGTGAGAAGAAACAGAATGTTAAACAAACCTCACTAGCTACAGTGATTAGCCAAAAACATTTAAGTCCTGTGATGTGTCCTATTTTACAAGTATGGGCATTTTTGTTTTCACATCAGTTTCTATAGAACCATCAAGGCTGGAGGAGATCTCTAAGATCGAGTCCAATCATTAACCTGTAACTCTGCTGTAAAAGCCTTAATCCTAGGGCTACCATTCCTCATCACTGACACCAGTCACAGGGAGGCTGCTCCTAGAACTGAGAAAGGACTGAGCTAACTGACCATGTCCTATGGGAGTGAGATAGAAAATTCATTTGGGTGAGACCCTGTCCCAGGGTGCCCAGGGAGGCTGTGGCTGCCCCAACCCTGGCAGTGTTCACAGCCAGGTTGGATGAGCCTTGAGCAACCTGCTCTGGTGGGAGATGTCCCTGCCCAGGGCAGGGGTTGGGGCTGGGTGAGCTCTCAGCTCCATTCCAACCCCTAAAATTCTCTGATATGATTCTATGATACGATTTTAACTGGCTGTTCTTCTGGCAAGCCTCAATGATTCCTATCAGAATCTCAGCCAACGAAGTGAAAGGAAGGAGTGAACACTACTACTTAACCCAGAAGTAAGTTAATTAGGTTAAACTTCATGTCAAACTGTGCTTCTGCATCCAAATGCTCTTCTTACCTGTGCAGCCTGGCGTGGGTGTACTGCAGGAACACACCTGTATCTCCACGGCTTTGAAGAGCTCGGTCCCAGCTGAACTGATAATCAGAGGACAGAAGGCCCCTGAAGTCCTGGAACAATAACTTAATGTCACCTAGATATGGCTCTTCATCTCAATTTTTCACTTCACAGAGGGTGCAAACACCACGTGAGGCAGCTCAGGCTCACCTGAATTATTAGTGCTGCAAGACCAACCTTTTCTGCTGTGGCCAGAGGATCTTCTATCTCTTTGGTTGCTGAAGGAAAACAGAGAAAGGAAGAGCTGTTAGGTCTGCAGCATCACAACAACACCTTTGCTCAGGCTTGGAGATGCCAATAAAATAGCAGATCTTCCACAGCTGTAAACTAGCAACAAGGAAGTTGTTGGGATGCATTCAGCAAGAAATCCAGGACATAAATCTGTCTAACAGCTGAGACCCAGCTGTTCCAGATGGGCTTTTCCCCAGTTCCCCTAGCATACAGGGAACTATATCCAACTCCTGCCAGGGCTGGAGAGAGGTGTGGGATGTGTGTCCTGCCAGGGCTGAGGGAGAGGAGAGAGGGAATGGCCTTGAGCTGAGCCAGGGCAGAGTCAGATTGGCTGTGAGGAGAAATGTTTTCCCTGTTGTGGTGTTGAGGCCCTGGGATATTGCCCAGGGAGGTGGTGCAGTCACCATCCCTGGAGGTGTTTCAGAGGTGTCTGATGTGGCACTGGAGGATCTGGGTTAGGGTTTGGGGGTTCCCCAGTCACAGGTTCATGGTTGGACTTGATGACCTTAGAGGTCTCCTCGAAATATGATGATTTATGATTCTAACCATAGAATGCTTTGGGTTGGAAGGGACCTTTAAAGATCATCCAGCCCAACCCCTCTCCCATGTGCAGGAACAACTTTTCCTTGTCTACTCTACAAGCAAAATTATCAGGCTCAAAGCTGAGGAGGCAGAGCCAGGAAGATGCACAGTACTTAACCTGCTCAGATGGTCGATTCAGTGCAGCACCTACGAGCAGAGAGCACAAGGGAGGGCAGCATTTCCCTGGGAAAGGTTTAAACCTTTCCTGCCTCAGGAAGAAACTATCCTAGAGCCACAGCCAGAGCTACAGGTTGGGTGGGGAAGTAATTGAGAGCAGCAGTGAGGAGAAGACTTGGGGGTGACAGTGGATGAGAAGATCAGTGTGAGCTCAGCCCAGAAAGCCAATGGAATCCTGGGCTGAGCCACAGGAGTGTGGGCAGCAGGGCAAGGGAGGTGATTCTGCCCCTCTGCTCTGCTCTGGGAGACACACCTGGAATCCTGTACACAGCTCTGGGGCCTCAGCCTGAGAAGGACATGGAACTGTTGGAGCAAGTGC